TCCGGGGGGTGAACAAAGGCCTCCTGTAGCGAATCGATGCGTTTTTGTAAGAAAAATATCCATATTCAAAACGTAATGATCACTTGAATCTAGCTTGCGCCAACAGTTGTACACAGAAGCAGTTCCGGGGGAATGACGTATGAGGTTAGCGCAGCGCATGCGCCGGTGCGTCTCGTGAAAACCAACGTTTGTTTACAGGATCAAAAGAAGCAAAGTTTCCTTACTTTAGCAAAGGAAAACCAGTCTCTTCTTGGCTTATATCGAAATCCTCCGACATTCTTCTTTACAAATCCTGGTTTTGTACTTCTAATTAGTGACCGTTGTTTTGTTTCGATCTCTCCGCGTTCGTCACTTCTGAGCCGCGCATGCGCAGCGCTGACCTCATACGTCATTCCCCCGGAACTGCTTCCGTTTAAAACAGTGAGCGCAAGCTAGATTCAAGTGATTATTACGTTTTGAATATGGATATTTTTCTTACAAAAACGCATCGATTAGCTACAGGAGGCCTTTGTTCACCCCCCGGAGCTGTGTCGGGGGTGAGTGAAACGCAGCCTAATTTTCATTCTGAGGTGAACTAACCCTTTAAGCAGGGTTTTACTGTAGCATTTTTGAGTCTTTTACAGTTAAAAAACATTAAAATGTTTTTCTTAAATATCGTAATGAACTGGACAGGAACATTAGGCATTTCTTTTAACCTTCCAATTTCACTTAGTTTTCTTTGTTTTATTTAAAATGAACGAAACTCAGTGTATTCATGTACTTAATCAAATTCCTGTTTGCTCCTCTTTCTGCCAAATGATTTGTCATAGTATTTGGTGTCCCACATCATAAGAAAATAAATGTAATCTGTTAAGTTTAAGCACATTTCCTTTAACGTCAAAACACAACATGAAATGCGTAATTCTAAATAGGGCAAAAACAGTTGTGAAAAATCGATATGGAAAACTCCTTCTTATTACCACAGTACATCAGCCTGGGTCTTTTCTTAGCGCTGAATTTTGCAAAAATGCACAAAGCAGTTTATAGACCATTTTATACACCACTTTCTATGAAACCTTTTATTTGAACAGATTTATAATTACAAGAAATGTTATGATTAGTGTCATTCCACAACTATGCCCTAAAAGCAATTCAGCGCTGATCACAAATTCTATGTAACCTTATTTTACAAGATCAGAAACGTACAGCAAACAAGCAATAATGCTACTCAACATAGCATTATTTACAGCATCAGAGATTTACAGTACAATAATAGCAGGTGCATAGCAGAAGAGGATCTCGTTCCAGAAATGGATTATATAAACCAGCATTTATAAGGAGATGAATAATCACAGAAGTGAAATGGATTTTGAGTGTCAAATGGATTTTGCATAGATAATCAATCACTGCCAGACATTATTATTTCTTGCCGGGCAATAAGACAATCATCACAATCCATTCAACCACATTCAGTAGCACTGCCCAATGGTAAACACTGACCACCTCAATATGCAAATATATGTGCCATATTTTTGGCCAAATGTTTTATTATTAATGCCTTCATTTGATGATTCTCAGATGGAACAGAGTAGAGCAAAGCAAAAAGCTAAAGCAAAGTATGAGCTAAGAAAAAAAACTCAAATGCTGCAATCCTGAACCCTCAAAACCCATTTCAACTCAAAATTAAGAGAACCGAACCGCATATGCACAAAATTAAAACACACACATATTTGATATGTAATTCGAATCAAATGCTACATCCATAACACTTGGTACAATGGCATAAGAATTCAACCCACGACATTCACAAATAGGTTTAAGGCAAAAAATGAATACAGCAGACACTGAAAAAGCAGGTCATATCAATGTTGATTTGTTTGGCTCAAATAAAAGTCAAAAATCACAGCTGGTGCTGATAAAGGAGCATTTGTGATGAGTATTAATTCAGCTAATCTCATTGAGACCTACACTTTCAAATCCTCAAAGGTAGTTATTACAACCGGTGGCATGATTGTTCAAAATCAAATAAGAAACAAAGCAAATATTCTATAGACATACAGTATGTCTATATACTGGAAATTACACTAATATACAGTTTACAAACACTGAGGTGTAAAATTAGGGAGGCATACAGTAAACGCAATGCTAAAGAACATCCCTAAACAGACTCAAAGTATTTAAAGACCTCATGAAATTACAGTTTATTTTCTATGTTGACTTGTTCGTCCAAGTTTGTGATTGTATTTATCTTAAGCTCCAACTTCTAGAGTTGGTAACTGCATTTGACTGCGGTTTCCAGATTAAATGAACACTAGAGGCAGTAAACGCCAACAACTTTTGTTCCTTTTCACACAAATTATGTTTACGGGGCAGATTATTGATGAATAAATGCTTATTTTTGCATGTTGTCTTGCACAATACTCTGTTATGAATACAGAATAATTTCACCATAGTGCATTATTTGTAAACTAATATATTTTGTCATTTGCATCACATAATCAGCTCCATATGTGTGGCATTTTCTGACGCAGTAAACTTGCTCGGTAGCGCACCTGGTAAAGCACTGCACTTGCAATTAGCAAGCTAAAATGGCATGCTTGTTTCAGCAAATGTGTTTTTATCTCACATTTGCTTTTGTAAACAATATAGGTTAGATTTAATTGATGAAAAGCCACAATATGTACCAACAACCAATGTAATGAAACATTGCCACAGTCACATTTAACTGTGGTTTGGAGACATTTGAACATGCCATTTAGCATCAGACACTAGACCTTTCGATTTGAAACTGTCATGAAATGTGCTATAACCAACACTTTTTGCAACCATTGTACATCCACAGGCACGTTTTCTTTTCTTTTTTCATGACACTGTGCTGTTTAATAAATCTGAATCTGCAATGGGGTAAAAATTATATAGCTTATAGCGCCTCTTGTAGACATGTCATGTGAAAAGTGCACTAAAATGTACCTGGAACAATGTATTTCTGGTTTTGCTATTTACACATTTCAGGAAATGTAGGCATAGTCATGTATTTCTTGGGCTCATTTACCACCGTTAACCAGTATTTACTATTTGCTAATGGTGGCAGGTGGTGTATTTCATGTGGTCTTTAAATTCATACACTAGACCCTGAAATATTCTAGCACTTCAGACCTGAGGATATAATAGCCACACTTTCACAAAACAATAACACGGACCCCAAAAGCTCAGCTTATCATAAAGCCTAAACCATAAAACAGCAGTATTTTGGTGTGTATTTTGCATCACTAACTGTGGGGTGAAACTGATACAAAGGCAGTGGCTTTACGCTTGAGGATGCAGGGTCAGATTGAACATTTGTCCCTACATCAGGCAACAACAGAAAATAAAGACATCTGTGCATATATGCTGTGTAAAGCACTACATAAGCTATTGCTCTTTGATACTACAGGCGTCGTGCTGCTCGAACCCATGCGAAACATTCCAGCGGTCTCTCGTTACACACAAAGCAGGGAGTCCGTTTTGTAAAAACAAAGTCTGTGAAGGTAAAAAGTCAATGTTATGCTATGAAACAGATGGTGTAACACACCTCAGAGCACTAGTGACCAGCCGTGAGAGCTGTGCTGAGTGAACTGTCTGAGCGTGCCCACTGATCTGAGGCCTGCTGGGCTGGTTTTCTGTCCATCCTGCGGATCAGGAACGCCTGCCTGGTTGAGCTCGTGGTATGGGACAAGATGTGGTCATGTTGGCGGTCTTTCTGCCTCTTCTGAAGAAAACAAACCACAAAATCACTCAATGTGCTAATAATCTCCTGGGACTCGACCCAAGTCATGAAATGTAACTTAAAAATAACATTTAGACAGTGAAAATAGGACTCAGAATTGTTTTTCAGTACACTAATATTTAAAAGTACGGAGCCCCGCACATGACATTCAATTCAATTCAATTTATTCAAATTCAATTTTGTAATCCGTTCGCTTGATTTACTAATTTATTCCCTCGTTTTAAGTAAAACTGTGTGCACGAAATAATCCATTCTACTGTCCGCATTCTCATAAATCAATGTAGATGCCTCTCACTTGATTCCATGCAATGCTGCAAGGCTTTTGAGAATGTGTGTATAACTCATTCCCAACTCAAAATAAAACCCAATTAAAGTGTCTCTATCAATAAAATAACATAACGGCAGCAACAGGGTTATGAGAAAGTGGAACGGATTATTATTTAGTGTGCATGATTTACTTAAATCGAGGGAATGAATTAGTAAATTGTGCACACGATTGACTTTTTCCCCAGGATCAGTAAGAGGTTTTTTGTTTTTTTGAAAAAAAAGAAAAAAAAAGAAAAAGACATTTAAGGATGAAATAATGATAAAAATAAATGCAGTTATTTTGAACTTTCTATTCATCAAAGAATCATGAAAAAATAAAATGAATCATGGTCTCCACAAAAATATTGGGCAGCACAACTGTTTTCAACATTGATAATAATCAGAAATGTTTCTTGAGCAGCAAATCAGCATATTAGAACGATTTCTGAAGATCATGTGACACTGAAGACTGGAGTAATGATGCTGAAAATACAGCTGCGCATCACAGAAATAAATTACAGTTTACAGTATATTCACACAGAAAACAGCGATATTTCACAATATTACTGTATTTGCACCGTACAGTACAATACAATACAGTAATAACATTTTTCTTTCTTTTTTTCCTAAAACAAGCCATAACATTTTACATCTAGACATTTTTAGGTGAAAACAAGACAAAATATGGTAAATGCAGACTGCAGCAGAGCGGTGAGTTTAACCTGTAGGTGAAGGTGAGTCGATGTCGGCAGAGAAATGGTCGATCCCCAATGCTGCAATAGAGCTCCTGGGTCGAATGCACCTCTCACCAGAGAAACTTCTGCGTAGCAATGCCTATATCAGCACAAAAACAGAGTTACTTTATAAAAATCAATCTGAGCAGTGACACGCAGGCACAAGAAACATTAGAGCATCTCAGTTTTGTACTGTGTGTATGAATGCGGTTGGTTAGTTAGCGGTTAGCTGGTGTACCTTGCGTGTCAGCGGGCTGCTGGGAGCCGAAGCGCTGCTGTATAAACTCAGGCTGGAGTTAGATCTGCTGACGGTCAGGCCTTTAGCGCTGCCTCTGCGGCCCGACGCCTCGAACGCATCTGGAGAGAGATACTTCTCCTTTATCTTCAGGTTCGTGCGTCCCTTTACTGTGTGTGCAGAAGGAATGATGCATAAATGTCTTTACTGACCAGTGTTGGGGAAAGTTACTTTTAAAAGTAATGCATTACAATATTGCGTTACTCCATAAAAAAAGTAACTAATTACGGTACTTAGTTACTTTTTATGGAAAGTAATGCGTTATGTTACTTTTGCACTACTTTTTAAATCTGGACAGGGCTTGCTTGTCTGTTTTTAAAATAAAAAAAGTTATATTTGTATTCATTTTGAGGAATACTGAATCTGTGTTTTTTTGTGAGTGAGATGAATTAATGCATATTCATATTTATTTTAGAACTACAGTAAAATCTTCTGATTTCTGTCACCATGGCAACACCAGAGCTGTCAATCAATAAATTGGAAAAAAAATGTAACTTGCATTACTTATTTGAAAAAGTAAGTCAGATATTCTCTTGTAAATTTAAAAAGTAATGCGTTACTTTACTAGTTACTTGAAAAAAGTAATCTGATTACGTAACTCGCGTTACTTGTAATGCGTTACCCCCAACACTGATACTGACACTACAAATAACAAAAATGCATCCTTGCTGAATAAGTATTATTCATAAGCAAGAATTAGGAGTTAGAGGCAAAAATTGTAGGTAATAGTGAGAATTGGTCCCTAAACTAAAGTGTGACCAATTAGATAATATTAAGAAAATAGCAAGATCTTCCAAACTGTCGGCATATTGTTTGTCCTCTGATTTCATCTACAATAAGCAGATTTTGAATAAGTGTGAGATATTCACCTCTACAGGGGTCATTCTTCACTAGAAACTCATCTAACGCTGTCCATCCACCACCAACTCGAACCATCAGAGTGCTTCTGAGAATACGAACCATCCGCAACTGCTGAGAGTCTCCAAACTGGTGAAAATCACAGAAATATCATCAGGCGTGTAGTCATGAATATATAGCTGTGCTGCCCCATTTACATTAACATCTGATTTGAGCATTCAAAGGCTGTGTATAAACTCGTTGGTTCTGGTTTTAGTCCATTTAGTCCTGGGCTGCGTTTCTCAAAAGCATTGTGAGATAAGTTGATCTTAAGGACCACTGGTGGCAGTAGATCTTACAGTGTACTTAGGCTTACAACGCTTTTGGGAAACATAGCCCTGGTTTGTTTAGCATTCACAAGAACCAGATATGCTTGTACACTCCGTCCTTTTTACGGTCAAATCTTGTGACATCATTTTGGTTCTTTTAGATGTCTTTGGTCCGTGTTGCATTCATATATCAGTCGAACCGCACTAGAATTGTGATCTGATCTCCCAAGATCCGGTGTTAATATCAGGTATAAACAAGCATTATTTGTACCAAGAATAGATTTTCACTCACCCTGTAGCGATTTGCGCTTATTTGCTCTACTTGATATCTCTTTGGACAGTTGCATTGAGAGACCTGACGGCTCACCTGCAGAATTGAGGTTTCTGTTAGTCGTCTTACAGAAATACTCAATGCAGGGAAGAATGTAAAAACAGAGCTACACACACCTCCTCATTGATTTGGTCTGCATCTATCGTCTTTCTGTAAGGGTCTCGGCTTGGATGGAGGGCACTCACAAATTCATAGTAGTCAATGAATCCATCACCGTTAACATCAAATATGTTAGCAACCGCAGTCATTTCCAGGGAGTTGGTGGGAAATTCTGTACAAAGTCAAATATTGCAAACAGTTACATATATACCCATACGACAAGGCTATATGAAATATTGACATATGTATATTCTCTGGGTAGATGAAGATATGCTTATAACATATATTAAATCATGTACAAATATTAATAATATCTATATGATGATATTTATATAGTATTATTTAGATATTTATATATATATATATATATATATATATATATATATATAAATTCAGACCCCCTTAAATTTTTCACTCTTTGTT